CCCCCCCCCCGCTGAACACACAATGCACGTTGCTGGCGATGGTGGAGGGTTGATGAGGTGTTGAGAAACAAGATGGCCACCTGACTTCCCACAGTCATGGTAGAGAGCTCGTGTGGGACCCTCCCTCCCTCTCCGTTCTCTCCTTACTGCCCTGCTCAGCCCTCAGGTAAGCTGCAAGGGGACGTGATAATACTACTCAGAACTCCTCACAGCCACTGGGTCAACACTCTGCCATCTTGGATGCCTCCCTCCCCTCAAGCTGGGTTCCTTCTCCCCACCTCCAGAAGTCGTTACTTGTGCTCTGGGGCACAGTGTGTTGTGTCCAGTGGATGCCTTCTTGTTTTCTGACTGAGTGAAAACATCCCTGGGCGAGCCTAACAGAAATGCAGACCTGCATCTGCACACCCACTCTGTGCAATTGCTCAGAGATTGAGACCAGCAGACATTAGACTCTGGAGAGGGTTTCCTTTGTTACTGAAAGCCGAGCCCTTCACGGGGAAGGAAACAGGACTGGATGTAGGAAAAACGGCTTTAGTACAGGCTCTACTAAAACTCTCTTCTAACCGGCCATATCACTTTTAGCAGATTCTCTTCCCTTGGGACATTTGTTTCTTCCAGCTTTCCGTTCAGTTAATATTTCTTTCGTAGGCACCTTTTGGGTGTTGGGCGCTTCTCCCGTGATGAACTTAGAATTGTTGTGTTTGAGCTACAAATAAGCAGAGTGAAAATGAAAAAAAAAAGACAAAGAGAACAGGGGTGGGGGGAGCTGATGAGATAGGTGTAATCAAGGAGGACCTCCCTTTGGAGGTGCCATTTAAGCTGAATTCTGAAGATTGATTATTAGCCCGCTGGACAAAAGTGTCATGTCCAGCAGATGTATGAGTGGTGACTTCCAGAAAGAGAGAACTATGAGCCCTGACAGAACCTGAAATGAGCATAATATGTTTAAGGATGCTGGGAGGCTGCATGGTATAATGGTAACGGGGGGGGGGGTGTGCTCTGGGTGGGGTGCATGCTGCTGGCTTCAGATCCAAGTCCTGCTCTTTACTCGTAATATAACCTGGGACAAGCTATCTACCTTTTTCTAACCTCACCTTCCTCATCTGTCAAAAAGCAGTGATCATAGGAATGGTCCGACAGCACTGTTGAAAGTATTAAATAAGATAATGCTTACAAAGCAATTAGCACAAGCAAATAATAAGTCAGTTTCTATTCTTATTGTTGGTTTCACGTCTTAAAAGTAGAGGGAGTAGCAGGTTAGTAAGAGATCCCACTTTTTTAAAATAAAGAGCCAGGTAGTAAATATTTTAGGCTTCTCAGGCCATATGGTCTCTGTCACAATTGCTCAACAGGCATGGGTATGCCTGTATTAACAATAAAACTTTATTTACAAAAACAAGCGGTAGGCCGGAGTTTGCCAACTCCAGTACTAGATCATAAAGGGTCTTAAAACCCAAGGAGGTGGGTTTAGATTTGAACTGTTGGATCATAGGGATCTCTGGAAGATTCTGGAAGAGGAAAATAATACGATGGAAATCTATCTATTTTGGTAGACCCGCCGAAAACCGTCTGACACAGAGAGCATTTGCTTTCTGCAGGTTGCTAATGTTTTCGAACGGGGTTCAAGCGATGCCAGGCAAAGCTTGAGCACCTTGTCACCTGTCAGGAATGAAGGGGGAGTTTCCTGTTACAGACCTTCCACAGCTTC